ATCCCCTGACGCCCAGCAAGGGACCGAAGCCCTACTCGGAGGCTGAGGGTGTCGGGTCGACTAAGTAGGCGCAAGACTTCGGACGGGAGGTCATAAAGATAAACCCTTACTACCCCAATAAGCCACAGCAATGGAAGGTTATACTTTGCGGTTCCTACTAAACTATAAGAACCCAAAAAGATTAAAGGTTAGGTATTGGGGATCTAAGAGCCCGATGCAACGCAATTACCTCAAAAGCCCATGAGACCATAAGAGCAAAACGCTTCAGGGTTTGGGGCAGCTTTCTTTTTTCGGAAGCTAATTGCCTCCATGTTACATTCGGTTTAGAATTTAGGCTTTGACTCGAAAGAAGCCAAAAAGTCAAAATCTGAAGTCCTCACACCAAACACCTGCACTCAGAGAAGGAGAGATGACTCGGAATCGTCAAAGCCTAAGCCTAAACCTCTTGAAGCGAATATATTGGCCTTCATAATTAAAACTGTCTCGGGCGGAGAAAAACGTCAATAGAGATGATAAGGGGACAGAATTGGTCAGCAGTCAAAACCCCTGTAGTACAACCCTAGCCCCACCACGGCCCTATATCTGTCACATTCAACAGCCCAAACCTCGCCACTGCCCCGTAGCCACGAAAATGCACCCAAAGCTCTGAACCCTAAATCCAAGTCTCAATCCCCATCTGGTAAACCCCGTATGTTGTAGTCATCGTACGTAATAAACAATGAACCGAAAAACACGTAAATGTCCGAAATATGATGTTAGCAAAATATGCTCTAAGCTTTAAACCCTGGCCCTGAACTCACAGACCCTAAATCCCAAACAATCACCAAGGGTGCCCAAGTCACTTCGCTTTCGGAGGCATGGCCGTGGCAGGGCGACGAGGAGGGGAAAGTGGTGGAAACCCGGGAGCCACAGCTGCCGCAGCACAGCGACAGGGTGCAGGATGTAGGGTTTTAGGGTTCCTTGCAGTCCCTGTGAGGGGTTCCTTTAAGGGTTCCCTTGAAGCTTCCTTTGAGGCTTCCTTTACGGGTTCTACAGGGGTACCATAAGGGTTAGGATTTGGGATCAGGGACCCTCATTGCGATTGTAGTGCTATATACCCCACAGCCCTATTCTGATTATTTAGGGATGTATGTAGGGTTATAGGCTTCAGGGTATAGGGTTCAGGAGTTAGGATTCAGGGTTTGCACAAAACCAGGGACCCTCTGATCGGTTATCAGGTAGATCAGGTAGGAGGGCCTACAACTGTACTAGCAGTGTTGTAGCATGCCAATGATACGAAATAACTAGCTAACCCTAAACCCTAAATCCTAGGTAACAAGTCCAGACCTTTCTGAAGCCAGCAGATCCTGGGTTCCTGTTAAAGGATTTTGACGTAACTTAAGTTACCGTGATAGGTATATATATATAGTAAGTAATAGGGCTTCACAATTATTGATAAGTTCAACTCAAACCATTATCTGACAAGACTCCGAAGGAACTTTGTGTCTAATGGCCTCCTTCCCGAATACCCCACGGAAATCTGTGTCAACTGCCGGAATTAGACTGAAACAGGGGGTTTAGGATTCCTTAAAAGGCCCCTTAAAGGGATCTAATTATGGGGGATCTATAGGGGTCTAAGGTTGAGGGTTTAAGGTAAGGCTTATAAGATCTAACAAGAGTAGCGCTGGTCGTTGACCATTCGTGAAAATGCTAGACCCATGGCCCTACGCAAAGGCAGAAGCACTGCGCACAATTTGTCGACGCTTGTCGGTGGATCCTTGCTTCCTTGCTGCCCGAATTTGGCACGAAATTGCCGTGCCGCGAAGGCAGTCGCCGAAAAGGCACCTAGAGAACCCCTTGACTGAGGAATATACATGTAATCATGTTTGGGATCCCATTTTCCTTTAAGGTAAATAACATTCCTTAAAGGATATTCAAGGGCTTTGGAGTCTCTGGGCAAGATCCACTCTCCCTATGAACCGGATGCTTATCCTAACAGGTAAGCTGACAGACTAAACTAGTCTGGGTCGGCTTCTGAACCCGTCCTATAACCTTAAACGGTTAGAGTTGTTTTGTAGCCACTGTAGGACCAAAACGTTAAAAGTCCGGACAAGTTTTTGCCAGTGGTCCGGAAGAGCAGGTTTAGAAAAAACAGTGCTAATTACTCTGCTACGGCTCTCATGCCATCCATGATCTGTTCAAGCTTTAGGGCTTTTAGATCCATGTAGCGAGAAGAATCTAACTGGTCTGATTTCAAATTTCACGTGGCCAGAACATGAAGGTTCAGTTGCGAGGCAATGCTGGAACACTCTCATGTGCGAGTTAACCCTAAGGCTAGATGCGCCTGTATAGTATATACTTAATCCTTAAAGTACTCATCTAGGAACCCCTTGAAGGCCTAAGCAACTACCTTCTGGGCACATGGAGCCTTAGGGTAGTATGAACGACTGTGAAGATGAACACTGAATCGTCGTAATACAGGGGCGCTAATAATTAGAAAAGGATATTGGTGCCTATTCTACCATAATTATAATAAGGAACGCCCAGAAATAGTATCGGTAATTATTTAGGCTCCTGTAGTAATCATGTGCATCCCGAGGGCCCAACACCGACCCAGGGTCCCCAACACCTCTAAACTTTGGGGACATCGGGATTACCTTATTTTGGGGTCCTTATGATAAAGGATCCTACTATATCGGGTGCTATATTAGGGTTTGCAGTTACCTCATTTCGGGGGTCCTCATAATAAGGATCCTACTATCTAGGGTACTATATTGGAATTACGGTCCCCTATTCTCGGAAACTCTAGACCTTAAGGCCTACGCCTTCACCCTAGCTACTAACCATCAGTGAATCCATGTTAACCCACACCCCTCCACATGGCACGTTGTCATAGATTTCACCCTAAACCCTAAACCCTAAATCCGCAGGCGGTTGGAGTGTCATGGCATGTCTGGTCTAGATGGGCCATGGCATCTGCTTACACAGCTCAACTTGCCTTTGGTTAGTAGAGAATGGAGGAATGGGGTAAAATTATAACTATCATTACTACCATTCTTCCATTCCCTACTAACCACAGGTAAGTCAAGAGGTTACAGGTTGAAATGATCCGTACCTCACAGACATTCATTCGACAGTGCATGGCTTTGGGGTGCAACTTAATTGCAAGCTTGGGTTCCTATCACGTATTGCAAAGCTGTGCCGGGTTAGCCTAAACCAAGTTCAGGGATGTAGTGCCGCTATGGAAGAGACAACAGCTCGAACACGTGACGTTTCTAGGGAACCGGGCAAAGTGCGCAGAATCCGGGGTGTTTACTTGAAGCAAATTTAGACTTGGCGGGCCATGGGAGTGTATGTTTTACTTGTGACCGACCATAAATGGACTGCATATTAAGGTAAGTAGAACAGCATCTTAGGAGCCGTCAATCCGGCTCCTGCGCTATTCCGGGGGCATTCGGTTCGCATCCTCAAGCACCCGATTTGCCAGTCGAATCCGACGTTCCCGGGCCTGGCGCTGGCTTCGGTTTAGCAATGTGCTATGTGGGAGTTTCCGAAAATAGGGGACCCTAATATAGTACCAGAAATAATAGGATCCTTATTATAAGGATCCCCAAATAAGGTACTCCCCCATTTTCGGAAACTCCCATGTGGTTCTGATACTGAAGTCGCAGAGGACGGTTTAGGACAACATCCTCTAACCCATAGGCCCCACATAATAGTTGGCTTTGGGGGGTTAATATTTAGAATTCTATTTGTAATACCCTTAAGGGAGGGGGGTCCAAGGGGGGTATATAGCCTAGTGATCCCTAATTCTCCCTAGTACTCCCTAAGGTTCCCTTACGGTCCCCTAAGGATTCCTTATACCCTCCCCCCTTGAACCACCCTCCCTTAAGGATCCTATAATCTATAAGCTAACCCGAAAAGGCAGCTACTCTGGGGCCTTTGAGTACACTATTTGCATGCTGATGGTTTAGGGTTTAGGGTTTAGGGGGTTTAGGGTTTGGGGTTTAGGGTTTAGGGCTTCGTCTGCGTGCTTTCTGCTACTGAATACTGTGTGACAACCGACGCTGTGGATCCGCCTGCGCGCCGGAATTGCCCATATAGCGTCCACAGTGCCCATAATATATGTATGTATATATATATATATATATGTGTATATATCTATATATATATATATATATATATAGTAGAATGTCGTGTTTCTACATTAAGAAATACAACGATGATTTGGGGAAGTATCCCCCATAGCAGTACCTAGGACCCTTTGGGTTATTAGCGGCCCCTTCTGCTGCCAACTCAGGTTGCCTAAGTGGACCGCATGTTCTGAACACTACCGAAATCTGAAACCCATGAGCAAGGATGGAGCCGCACGAACCTGAACCATGAGCCTCAAAACGCTGCAACAACTGCTAAACTCATCTGTCACACCTTCCAAGCCTCCAGTCTATAGTCTCACTTGTTCTAGAACAGCCTCCCAACCCTGCGACTTGGTTTTGCAGTTCCTCTCCCAACCTGCAGCCCAAACCCTAAACCCTACCCTAAATCCTAAGCCTAAACCTAAACCCTAAACCCTAACCCCAAACCCTAAAGCCTAAACCCAAACCCTTAACCCAAACTGCTGTTGGGAGCGAAACTCGAGCTTTGAGGGCGAGATGTTACGGATTTTTGTCTAGGGTTTAGGGTTAGGGTTCAGGGTTTGGGCTGCAAACCTGCAGACCCTAAACCCTTGGGTTTGTAGGCCTGTATGATTCTATTGTTGGGCTTCGGGTCTTTGTGACTCTATAAGTTGTCTTGCAAACCACAAGTACAAGACTATTGCTGCCGGGCTTTTGCTGAGTATTCTGCCTGACTGAGGTTGTGGAATTCCGAAAGCTGTAACAGCGAAAAACTATCAGCCCCTTAACCCGACAAATCGGAGTCGCCCTAAACCCCAAATCCTAAACCGGACGGACCTGAATCCCTCAACTCAAAACTTCCAACCGTCAACCGGAGGCCCAAATCCTCTGATGCCCGGGGCGTACCCGAATCTGCATCTTGCCGGTGAAGTAGGGGCCATTGTGCTTGGCATCTCCGTAGCCAGTAACTGGTCGAAGGCATGGGCTCTGGACGGGTCTGTGGGATTTTTGGAAATATCAGGGTTTAGGGTTTCAGGTTATGAGCCCTAGTCTCCGGAGTTTAGGAACTAGGAGTTAAAACAATGTTTGAGGGTTATGGAACAGACTATGGTGTCCGAGGGGCTCAAGGATAAGGTTCGATCGTGGTTTGTTCACCGAAGTGTTCAGGGTCAGCACGACCAAACAAGCTCATCAGAGGGAATCACAACATTAATCTGCAACGCAGAAACGTCTCTGCAGTCACTCCTTCGCGGCTCGCTGAACTTGAACTTCAACCACAGTGGACTAAATGACTTGAATAGGGCTTTGATGCTTCACTACAGTATAAAACGGGGGCCCTGGAATCCTCCTACTTTTTTGCTCAAGCCTCTATGCTATATCTCTACCTTTCTCAGAGGCCTCAAAAGGTGGGATGAAGGTCGGTAGGACCCTTGTATAAGGACTCTTATTTGGGAACATCCCACCTACCTTCATCCCATCTTTATTTGAGGCCTCCGACTCTCCGCAGGCCGGCCCGACTCGCTGAATGCGTTTTGCAACCAGCTCGTGCAGCTCTAGACTCTGCCTGTAGCCTCCATTGTAGTTCCTGTTTGGGCCGCCCGTTAGGATCCTAAGTACAAACTGGTTAAAGCAGAAAAGGAACTACAAGGGAGCCTATAGATATTGTAGTCTACGACCTCGAGCTGTCACAACTCGACCCTCTAAGCGCTAAAGCCTCAACTCGAGACTTTTCTGAGAAGACAGATGACAGAAATCGCAAATCCCAGGTAGCACGAACGACACCCAAAACAGCAGCCGGCAACTCGCCGCTACAACATCTCCCTGGTGCTTAGTAGGGAATGGGGGATGGAGTATGAGGATTACTATTGGGGATTATATGAGGGACTACTATAGGGATCCATTCCCACGTTCCCTACAAAGCACCAGGGAGACATTTCCAGACAGGCAATTGAGTTCCTGGCTACCGATCCTGCGTTCGGCATACTTGTCCACCACCTCCGGCCGTTGTTTGAAGAGTATGGTAGACCTTAACCCCAAATAGCCTACCTTTTTGGGGGCCTATATCTGAATTGTTTGATAGTCTCTTGGTTTGTTTTAATCTGAACAAATCGAAAATCATTCACAAGGAGGTTATAGATATAAGGAAATCATAATAGGGTAGCTGAGAAAGGCAGGTTTTATAGGGTTCAGATCGGCTTAGAGGGTTCAGGGCATTGGGGTCTAGGGCAACCGACTGAGTTCAGGTTCACGACTTCTGTGGCAAATCTTTGAGCTGCCGAATGCATACTGACACCCACAGAAAGGTTAAGATCCACACTCATCATGGCCTTGCATTCTTGGTGAGGTGCTTCGGTTGCGGGTTGTGGATGCTTCTTAATCTAGGGTCTATATGGGAGTACGCGATGAATTTCGGGATCCGAGTCCATGTCTCCACATCACGCGTTGGGAAACGGGATTAGCATGAATAAACGCTCGAACCAACCCTAAGGCTCCATGTACCTAAATACTACCCAGTATTGACTTAGGCCTTAAGCCTTGAAGTCGAGTTTTACATGTTAGTTGCTTTAAGGCCGAAGCATACTGTGGTAGGACGAAAGTTCGCCGTAGTCTCGTATGGCTTGTAATTTAAATTCAACATCTAATGATGGTCAAAACCCGGGCAGCGCGACAGGGGCCCGGCATACTTCCGCCGGAGCAGATAATCCTTCATGTGCTGGCCTGCACCAAAGAGCAGCATGCGCAAAGGCTTCAGCGATGAATTTCGTTCAGTACCTTCTCCAACGTCTATGACGAGAGGAAGTTGGGCTTTGCGCATTCGGGGACCGCAGTTGTTTGCGTTGTTTCCTACTTGACAATCTGGCCATGCGGTGGTGCGTTCAGCTAGCTCAGAACCCTATTTGTAGATACCCAGGCCCTTTTCTCAGAATCTCAGGCTGCGAATTGTGGTAGTAGCAGCCACGAACCCCCGAAAAAGGCATGAACCTGTAAGCCTTCCCGCATAAGCTGCGAGTACCGACCTCGCCAGACCCAGGCTAAGGGAACCGAACTTACCCAAAGAGAGACGGAGATGCGAAAAAACACTAAGCCCCAAGACCCGAAACTCAACCATAACCCTTAATCCCGAAACCCGTCAGCCCTACCTAATCCCGAAACTCGGAATGCAGCAGCCGCCTTTCTCGTCCAGCGCATCTACCTCGGCTTGTCGCTGGCGGAGCTCTTCCTGGGCGCTCCCATGCAGCTTCGAATTGTCATATCCAAAGGGTCCTAGGTAGTGTTGTGGGGGATACTTCCCTAAATCATATGAGTAATTTCTAATTAATATAGAAACCCTTCATTCTACTAATGAGTACTTTGGACTCTTTGGGATAAGCTCTTTTCTGCTTAAAGGATCGGGGACTTATCAAGTAAGTTATATCGCGATACAAGTAGGACAACTTCACTTCAGATCAGAAGAACTGTGCTGCCTGTACGTATAACTACGTACAAACCCTAAACCCCAAACCCTAAACCCTAAACCCGGACCTACTTACTATAAGGCTCCCCCCCGGTCCTCTGAGCAGGAATTTTCTTGGCACTTTAGAGGTTCTAGGACTCCGGGCTACTGCGGCGAGTTGGGATTTGATTGATTGGGTGGTGGGTGCTGAATTTAGGGTTCATAGTAATAGTAATGGTAATAGTAACATAGGGTTCAGGGTTTGAGGGGATCCTTGCGGCTTGGGCTTTTCCGGTGGATTGAACGATTATCAAAACGTAAGGTATGGGGTTCAGGGACAGCGTCTGTCAAAGAGGGACCACCACATCCAATGCTGGGGACTTGTGCAGATATCACACTAGACGCCAAGGTATGCATCCATAAACTCTCAAACCACAACATCCAAACTCTAGCCAGCCCCAAAACACTAAACCATACAATCAGCAAAAGCCTTCTACATGGGTTACATTACAGTAGTATACCGAAACAGAAACTTGAGAGGATAAACAAAGCAGGTTAAGCATTGCTAGCCGGTAATGCAGGCCTTATGTCACCTTTCTAAAACTGCTGCAGAACCCTTATGACACCCTTCTAAAACTGTAAACCTTATAAACCCTGAACTCCAAATCCCTCTCAAACCGTATAACAGCAGAAAGCCCCCTAAACCCTAAACCAAGCCCTCAAAAGGCCGAGGCAGCGGCCCTAAGCCGAGGCAGCTCCTCCAGCAGCGCTCGCCACTCCTCGTGGCCTCGAAGGTTCGGCTCGGAGCTTCTCATAGTATGAGGTATTTTTATTGTGTAAGGGCTTTGTAAGAGTTTTGGGTATAGTATAAGGTATTATACTATACTTTATAAGGGCTTTGTAGGAGTTTAGGGCTTAGGATTTATAGGTTTCAGGGTATGGCTCTGTCAGGTTTGAAAAAGGTTTGGAACTAGTCTACGCATCCCGTCATACCCCATTGTATGCAGACCCCTCTGCAAATCATTCAGCTCCGGCCACCGACCGAGTCTGGGGGGGTGGCATCACATTCGTGGTTCATTTCGTAAGTGCTTCAGAGGCAGCATCGAGGGACTTTTGCCTTGGGGTTTACTTGGAGGATCATAGGACTTAGTAACTAGGGTTATACATAAGGTAACTATACTTATAACTCCGATTAGGGCACTTATAACCTTACTTACTAAGTCCCATGGTCTTCCAGGTAGGGTTTGGGTTTCCGGATTGAGATGCGACTTTCAGGCTCGAAGGCTCGGGCTCGTCGTTTTCAATCTCACGTCTTTTGGGTTTAGAAGCCTGGGTTGATATGGGGGTTTCCGAAATTAGGGGTACCTTATTTTGGGGCCCTTATTATAGTACGGCACATAATATTTAGGGTACCGAAAAAGGGGCCATAATCTTGACAACTACCCATATGAGAGGGTCGAGTCCAGGGCTAGTTCAGGATTCAGGAGGTCTCGGCGATACTCGGCGTTTTGGATGCAAGGTCCTCGAAATCAACCAGGGAGGGGGGTGGCGACGTCGGTGTGGCCCATACGACCTAGTGGCAAAAGCACCCTTAAACCGGAAAAACCAAACAACAACGCAAAGCCAACATGTAACTATGATCCTAGTGAAACGGCAAACACAAAACAATATCATAACCTTCCCGGAGCGCAAACTTAAACCCTGAGCCCTGAACCCCAAAATCCTAAACCCGAATGGAACGCAAGAAGTGCGACTGGCGGCCCCGGGCGGAGGAAGAGTTGAGGCCGCTGTCGGAAGTCGGTGGCACAAAGAAGCGTCTCGGGCCTTAAGAAGGTATCGGACATGGGTTTTAGGCTTCTCTGTAAAAGGTTTAGGGTTTAGAGCTGTTTAGATAACGGTTTAAGATCATAGGGTTTACAGTTTACGGCATGAGGTTTAGAACTTACGGCAAAAGTTTAGGATGCAGCGATTGAGATTACGTGGGTTTGGAGTTCAGGGTTCGGGCTCAGGGAATTCAGGGCCATGATTTGAGAAGGCTTGAGTTCTGTTGTCTCTTTCTGAACTCCATGTTCCCAAAAAGCTTGGGGGTTTGGGGCTCAGCGTTTCGCAGTTGTTGGGCTTGGGGATTTGGGACGGTTCCGGGTTCCCCTGAACACTACCTTACTCAGCTGCCGCGCTTCGGGCTGAAGGTTAAACTGCGGGCTTGATACAGGATCTTTCATGGGATTCTACTTACGGGGATCAGTTCTGGTAGCCCTTCCACCTCCTTAAAGGATACATATCCTCTGCGTGTAACACCTAAACGCAGTGCTGTCCCTAAATCCCAGACCCCCTAAACACCTGAACCACTAAAGCCTAACTTCCTAATCCCCGAACTCTTGGACCCCTAAAGCCTGACTTCCTTGTCCCTACACCCTTGAACCCCTAAAAACTAACTTCTTTATCCTTAAGCCCGAAACCTTACACCCCTGAACCCCTGAACACCCATGGAACTCTTATAGAGACCTTATAGAACCACTTGAAACGAATCGTTAAAAGAAACTTACAAATGAACTTATATAGAGCCCTTAACAGGAACCCTTACAGGGAACCCTCGAAAGGGAACCCTTAAAAGGGAGCCGTAAAAAGGGAGCCTTTAGAGAAGGAGCCCTAAGGCTTAGGCCAGAAACGCGACGGCGTCATCTCTGGGAGCCAGGCCCGGGCTTCATCTTCTCGTGCGCTGCCCTGGCATCTCTAAATTAATTAGGGGGTAAGGCATCGTAAACAAGGACTCTGCCGCGGCTTGAGCTCGATCGCGAGACCTTTTTAAGCGACGGAACCGAGCACCGAGTCTGGGCTCGGTCACGGATCGAAAAAAAGGGAACTGCAATGGCGACGGTGGGCAGCTGCCAGACAAGTTAAGGGCTTTTATTTGGAGCTGAATGCGAGGTTTAGGGTTCGGGGCTTAAGAAAAACACAGTAAGAAAGAACCCAGTGGAACGGCAGCCAAATTTGTCAGGCCGGCGCATGATGCTGATACAGGGGCCCTGAAAAGTACCAGAGCGCTGTGTGGTGTGTCATGTTTAGCGAGGTTCGTGGAGAATGAGTAGTGGTTGCAACTACAAACTGGTTAGTGGCGGCAGTGCCAATAATAGTTATGAAATAGTTCTTCTGGCCGCAAATCTTGAACTTCCTTTTAGCGTCTAGGTTCTGATAAACTCACCCACACAACGGAAAATATAGTAACAACGGCCACGATACCCACGCCAGCTACATCATCGCCATCCATTGTAATCACAACTATGGGGATGGAACAGCAGCAAACATAAATTAAGCGCAATAGGGTTTCTGGAGATCTAGGGATTAGGGTTTAGGGTTTAGGCCCCTAAACCCTAAACCCTAATCTTGGACAGCCTTCGCGCTGCGAGCAGTTGCGGCTTTGGCTTTGGCCCGATGCGGGACAAATCCTGCAGGGCAGACTCGGGTTGTAAAGGGAACTCCAGAAAGTTGGAATATGGTTTCAGGGTAGGATACCCTATAATTTACCATAAAGGGTTTAGGATAATCATATTCCAACTTTCTGGCTTTTGCGTTAGAAGGCGAAGGCCAATGGATACTTCGGGCACATACTTGGGAATCGTGAAACCTGACTACTTGTACTAAACCCTAGACCCCAAGACTGAGGACTCAAGCCCTCCATCTTGATACAGGGGCCTACGTAGTTGGAATAAGGCTTGAACGTGTAGGGGGGTTTCTGTGCCTTGTGTTTGTTTCTTCTTGTGAGTTGCGGGGGGACAGGGGTGTATGTGAGCAAAACCGGGTCTATTTGGAAGCTGCTTCTTGGGTATTTGATAAGGGAAACCTACACTTCGTCTCAATTGTGAAAAGAAGAAGGCATCTTCCAAACAGTGATGCGCGGCAAGTCCGTCAGCTTCTTCTGGGTTTTAATGTGGGCCTGATTGATGTAACTGGGAGTTTCCGAAAATCGGGGGCTTAGTAGGATCCTTATTACAAGGAGCCCCAAACAAGGTACCCCTAATTTTCGGAAACTCCCAACTTGGTTCACCTCATTCTGTCACGCACGCACGCAGCCCTTTACTGCTTCACCCTGACAAGACGCAACAAACGTGGTTTGATACTGAACCAATCACTACTTCACATGTAACACAGAACTGTCCTGCAAACATATCAGGGCTCAGTATGCCCTCCGTGGGGGGTGGTGGGTATGCTATACTGTAGCTATAGTAGGGGCTACAAGGGGATAGCACTTCGAACTATTCAGACACCTGTCTTACGTTGAATTCTGCCCAAAAGACTTCTTCCAGTCTGACTTCTGGAGGTGTTGTGGGCTACACTCATGCCGGATACCTTTCGGGTTTGGTACAGGAGCCGCACGAATGGGAACTGAGTTTTGAGAATTACTATTTGGACACACTAGGGAATCCTGTGCTGATTACTCCGGCTTTGTAAGGTGCCCGTTTAATGGGTTCGATAAGGTTCCCTTAAGGGTAGCACAAGGATTCTTAAGGATCCTTTATGAAGGACCATTCATTACATGGGAGTCGCAGGACATGAAGGACTTGACCGACTTTCGAGGCATCAAGCCGGGCACAACCCAAGCTCGCATGACAATTTAGGGCAGTTCAGTGAAGTTGAGGATTTCGCATTTGGGGTTTAGGGTCGTGGTTGAAGGTATAGAATTTCGAGTTTTGGGTCAGACTTCAAACTAAGGTAGTTAGCGGGTTCTGTAATGGCAGTTGATAGAAACATTGTCAGATCAGGGAGGGCATCAAGCGGGGTTCAGGGTTTGTAAACTCCTTCAGACAAGTAAGAAACAGCGGTTATGAAATGCAATGCAAAACGACAATCCGTCAATCCAGTAGGGTGCTTTTTGTGCTTATACTGCTGATGACACGGATCCTGTATTTCGAGAAGGTGTCTCTGCAATTCAATTGGAAATCAACACCTTCCGTAAGGATCCTTACCGAATGGGCCTATCGGCTAGAGATCCATATTGCATATTGGAGTCCCGTTTCTCTGAACTCTCAAAACAGAACATCCGAAAACCAACCCCTAATGTCCCTCACGGTCGACTCGACGGCTTTATTTAAACAAGACATCTATCTGAATCCCTTTGGGCTGTTTTTTGTATGGGTCCCTTTTAGGGGGTTAAGGGTCTGAGTACAGCCTCCCCAAGCCCTGAATCCTAAACCGTATAAACCCTACGGTACAGCCATTAGGATCCCTGGCGTTGGCCTCGTCCTCCCGCAGCATTGAGGCGGCGTCCTCTGCGGAGGCTACCAGGCAACTTGAATGGCTTGAGGGGCTTTATTGTTCAGGGGTTCAGGGGTTTAGGGGTTTGAGGATTAGAGTTTAGGGTTTAGGGTTCGGGTTTGGGCGTTTAGGGTCTTTAGTATCTTGAGGCTTCTCTGGGGTGGCGGTGAGGGCTTCGCATAAAAGTCTAAGGCAACGGCGCTTCAGCTGTAACGGGCATTTTTGCTGCGCCGGGGAAGCTTCCGGCTGGGATTTGACTTTGATTTACGGTCTAGGGCTTAAGGTCGAGGGTCTAGGGTTTGGGGTAGGGTCTAGGGTTTAGGGTCTTTTTTAGGGAGGCCTTTCGCGCTGCAGCTTGGTCTGCGCGCGCTCTGGCGCCAACTCAGAAGGCTTCTGCAATGCCCGCTTTACGAGTATATTATATATCTCCAATGGGGATTCTTAGGGGCGGTGTGGTTAAGAAGACCAGGGAAGTGTGTTCTGGTTGTGTGATCGATCCAGTAGGGAAAGGGCATCCCGCGGCGACGACCCTGAAACAGGATTCGATCCTTAAAGGCAGCTGAGAACACTACATTATGGAGAGGGCATTCCGGGGCGGTGTGGTAAACTTCCTGTAGCATTTTAAACTGTAGTTCAACTATCACGTCGGAGGGCAGTTTGGGATATCTGGCTTTCTTATAAATCTCCTGGTTTGTGGTATGTGAGTAATAAGAGGCCTTAATACCCACTATCCTTCTAAGAAAGCGAATGTGGTGTGCGTCTAGTCGGTGTAACTGCTTGGTGGTAATAGTAATAGCATCCAATCCGTAGGTGAGGACTGGTGAGAATGTGGCCTGGAATATTTTAAGTTTTTGTTTCTGAGACATAGTGCTGTTCCAAACCAACCTGAGCTTCTTATAGGCCTGTTCTGAGAGCCCTCTTCTATGATAGAAAGCTATCTCAAAGGCTTGCTTCCAACTAATCATCGAAACCAAATATTTAATGTGCGGTGTGGTCGGGACCAACGAACCGTCCTGGAAATGCAGCGTAGTGGTATCCCCTTCATTGTGTACCAGCAGCTCTGTCTTTTGTTGGTTAAGATGCATCCCATACTCTAGGGCAATTTCTTCTAGTGTTGAGAGGTACGTTTGGAGTTGGGGTATTGTTAGTGCTAAAAGCAGCGTATCATCGGCATACTCTAAATCGAAGGTGGGTTGCTTGATGGACCAGCTGTTGGTGGGCTGTCCCTTTTGTTGCAGTGTGGTCTCCATATCCGTAAGGATTACATCTAAGGTAAGGATAAAAAGGTAGGGGCTTAAAGTTAAAGGACATCCCTGTCAAATGCCCGATCTACAAATCCCCTTGGCGGTGTGATCGTCCACGCCTCTGGTGGAAAAGCTTGGTGAACGGTAAATGGCGCGGATGGCTGCTAAGCTGCGGTTGAATAGGCCCTTGCGAGCTAGCGCTTCTAGCATAGCGGTGTGGTCGACCGAGTCAAACGCCTGTTTCCACTCCAGGAAAAGAAGGTGAAGGGGTTTGTCCGTGAGCGTGGACCATTCCATTGCGCGACGCAAGATGAATAGTGGGTGGCGGGTGCCTTTAGCCGCCCTAAAGCCAAATTGGTTTGGGCGTAAGGTGTGGTCACACTGCGCTGCCAACTTCTTTTGTATCATAGCTGCGTAAATTTTGTACGTGGTGTTAAGAAGGGAAATGGGGCGGTAATTGGAAGGGTCTGTGTCCGAACCTTTGCCTTTGAATATGGATGCTACCCAAGCCTCCGTCCAAGATGGCGGTATGGTCCCCGAGGTCCACGCCTCGTTGTACACCCCCAGTAGTAGGTTTTCCCCCTCTGCGTCGAGCATCTGGAGGATTTCTACCTCGATTTGGTCCGGTCCTGGGGTCTTTCTGCTTTTCTGTTGGTATAGAACCTCCCTTAGCTCAAGGAGAGTAAATGGATCTTCGTCCGGGGTGGTTGCGCTAAGTGGTTGCCTGGCCTGCCTGTTGGCGGCGATGTGGTCCGGGTGGTCTCTGAAGCCTCGTGCGTTTTGGTCCAAGGGACCGGCTTGTTATCCACGACCAGATGCGATTTTTTACCTGTAAAACCCCTGCGTTGTGAGCGGACAGTACCCCACACCGCGGCGCAATCCGCCGCAAGGTCCCCCACAAGCTGGGAATGCACCCAGTTGATACGATCCTTGCGTGCCATGGGCTTGGCTTTGTTGCGCAGGGTTTTCCAGTTGTCCTGTCCCGTCGATAAGGCGTTGCGCGCTGCCTGTAAGGCGTCCAGCATAGCTTGCGTTACCCATTTATTGCGTGGGCGGCGTTGTTGGACGGGTAAGGCCTCCTTGGCGGACTGAAGGAGCGACTGTGCGAGCTGGTCTGCAGTGTGGTCTGGAGGGTTTGCGTTAGGGGTTTCCGAGATTATTGGGAGTAGTCTGGAACCCTGCGACTGGGTAGCATTTTTACCCTGTTCCGCAAGTTTGTCTGCTCTTTCGTTGCCTTCGGTGCCCTGGTGGCCCTTGACCCAATGTAGGTGCGGCGTGGTCTGTTTGTATAGCAGTTGAGCTGTGTGAACCATTTGTTTGTGAACTTTTGCATTCCATTTTCCCAGGATGACGTTAATAGCCCATTGGCTGTCGGAGTAAATGTGGAGTTTTGTGGCCTGTTGTTCTTGTGCGTAAAGCATTGCCTCGATGATCGCCGAAAGTTCCCCCGTGTTGTTGGAACCTACTCCTGCTCCTAAGTAGGCGGCGTGGTCTGGGTCGGTGACCACCGGTCCACATGCTTCATGCCATGACCCGTCTTCTCTTTCAAAACACCATCCCCAACCTGCTGGGGTGCCTCGGTTGCATTTGCCCCTTGTTCCTGAGCCGTCCGTATATATATATATATATATCAAACTCGGCGGTGTGGTCTGAGGGAGCTGTCGGGGGGCTGCAAGGCGCTTGTGGGGTGAGTCCTAGAGAGGTCTTTAGGGTGAAGTTAAAAAGTTGTTTAGCTGCCGGCGTGGCCTTCGAGAAGTCCAGCTTCGGTGGTCTGGGAGGCTTAGGGGTTCGGGCTGCGAGCTTGGCTTGTACCTCTGGTACTAAAAGATAGTGGTCTGATGGGAAACCCGTGTGCAGTTTAGACCTGCAGCTGTTGATAGAATTCATCCATTGGTTCCTGGTGAAAGTATGGTCGAGCCTTTGGAACCTGGTAGGGTCAGGGTGGGGTTCTTCTAGCTTTGGTGGAAGAGGTTGGGGCAGTGGGAGAAATGATCTGATGTGGGAAGCGAGTTTGAGAGCTTCTGGGCCAAAAACCTCATGATACAGTCTGTATGATTGTTGCATGATCAACGGGTCAAGGACGTACTGTGACCAATCTGGGGGTGGAGCGGTCTTGTCCCTATATGTGATATGATGAACTTTGTTGGGTGTTTTGTAAGAAGCTACCTCTGAACACCCCAGGCGTTGCATCACTTTGACACATAAGGTACGGTTAGAAGAGGCGGTGTGGTCAATGAACTGCTTTCCCTTGCCGTACACAAAAGGGCCCGTAACTCCTAGATCGTTCTTATGTTGTGCCTGAAATCTGACGTACCAATCTCCTGTGATATAGAGGGGTTCTGGTTGGGGTATTCTGTCAAGGTACTCCTCTAGGGTGTCCCAGAAGGGCTGCCGAATTGTCTCCAAATCCAAACCAGAATGAGGTGCATAAACCCCAACCACATGTGTGTGACCGCCTCGCTTGTTAAGTTTCAGGTGCAATATTCTAGAGTTGACCTGAACTATATCTGCGAGGTGTGGTCGGAGCCTGGGGTGAATAATTGCTCCTACTCCTGCGTGCTTTTCTTTGTTGTTACCTGAGAGTACTACTAGGTGCTGTTCCGAAACATACGAGTAGTAGTTGGTTGCAGTCGTAGACCGTGACGTCGATGTGATCGTCCTCGTCGATCCACTTCAGCCCGAGCGGATCAACGCTGCAAGCCAGGGTGCCGCAGTCGTGGCAAAATACACGGTTGTCCTCGGCATAGCGTAGATCACAGCGGCCACATTCGAGGCACTCGATTTCGAAGCGGTGCTCGTACGTCATGGCTGGGGAAGAAAGCAAAAGAAGGCGAGGCGCGAGAAGACAGAAAAAGCTTGAGCCAAAATGGCTAAGGGGTTTAGGGTTTAGGGCCTTTAGGGGTTCAGGGGTTTAGGGTTTTGGGGCCTTTAGGGGTTTAAGGGGTTTAGGGTTTAGGGCCTTTAGGGGTTCAGGGGTTTAGGGTTTAGGGTCTAGGGTTTAGGGTCTAGGGTCTAGGGTCTAGGGTTTAGGGTTCATGGTTTAGGGTCTAGGGATTAGGACTCAGGTCGTAAGGTTCAGGGCCAAGCGGGATTACGGAGGGGGGGTGGGCTTCCTCTCAGCGACTCTGCAGTCAAGTCACTACCTCTTTGAATGAAGGCAGCTAACCCTGATCTAAATCCCTAACCGTCAAACTCATGCACTGTAAAGCCTACATAATTGCCAACATCATTCCACACGGTTCTTATTATGGTTATCATGTGAAGGGGCCCAAAACTATATTATAATTATTAAGGCCCCTACATGAGTATAGCCCATGAGCCGCAATTCCTGAGGCCCTCTAGGTATGCGATCTCTGGAACAGAAATTACATACTTTGGCCCTCAGGTACCTATACAGGGACTACTGTCAGGCCACAGCATATACCAAATAGTACATGGTCCTTCAGGGACCCTTGACCGGTTAGGCATGGGAACGTCCCTCGGTTTTTTAGCGGCTCAAGACTCTTAGGTCTAGGTTCATTAGGGTTGCGGATCGTTGCATCAACATGGCGCCGTTCAGATTTAACACCCCATAGCCGAGCACCACGTTGCAGAGGTTTGGGACCTATACCCTAAACCCTACACTTCAATGCCCGGTCTACCTTCGAAGTATTCGAGAAGTCTGAGGTTTTAAACCGCTAGAGATGTCAGGGCTCGACATCTATGTCTGCACGCGCACACATATCTAGCTATCTACCTATCTACCTGCCTACCTATCTTTCACTTGATTTTCTGTCATTCTGCCTTTCTATCCACCGATCTATCTATCTACATACAAACGTACGTACATACAACCAACATACACATGCATGTGCACACACACTACACGCGTCTGTGTGAACCTGGTCAATCTTGCGGACTCAGGTCTAGCCATAGGATTTCGGATTTGGGGGATAACGTAATTTTACATGGCTTTTGGCGTTGTGGGGATTGTGTCCGGCCTCGTCACGCAGCCATGCTGGTCTCACGCCTTCTTCAGAAGGTGCCTCAGTCTCGCACCCCATCACTTGACGGCTTGCTCACAGGTCCTTTCGACGCTTTGAAAAGCCGCAACATCTCTTGGTCAGGTATGAGACAGTTCGTGCAGTTCCACTCACGGATTTGGTAGTGTAGACTATGTTCATGCCACACCAGAATCTGGACAAACCGATTTGTCCGAACTTTGCCCGGCATGACCCACATTGCAAACTCCCGATGTAGACAAAGCGCTCTGATGTTTTCAATTGGACACAACATATGACATAGAATAACCCGAAACCGTAAGCACCTAAACTGCGCACTGTACAGCTCGAGGAGCATGCAAGTTGCTTCGCACAAGCAAACGAGGAGACCCCGGTTCAGCCACGAGGCTATCTTCGCGCTGCTGTCTCTATATACCACTACTTTTATGAATTTATTGGCGACGGTTTGCTGCCATCAGCCGCCAAATATCGCTCCAACCTCAACAAGCCCTTAGTCATCCCTGAGCACCCCCCCCGTCCAGAAGGGCGTGAGGGTAAATGCATGTTCCAATCCGAGTGGCACGGGGATCGCCATGAAGTTCGGTGTTTTCTGGGGCGTTGTAGACCTCATACTAGACTACGCTATACTCGACCCTCCTGTGCTATGTCATACTTCATCACAAACACTTGTATATACATATAGACATATATGCATACATATTTACATCCATACGTACATACATACGTACATACAGATGTGTATATATATATATATAACATATGTACAAATGAAGATTCACGGAGATATATGCTGTATTACCACTGAGCCGAGTGTAGACTTTGTGTCTGCCTGGCCGGGTCTGGCAGCTTCAGGGTAGACCAATAGCTAGTAAAAGAAATGAACAAAACATAAGAAGCAATGTCGATGGCACAGAGAGCCTGTTTAGCTGCATCTACCTCAGATTGCTGCATGTGTGCTTCGCAATAGGCTTGTGCACATATTGTACATGCATATGGGTATGTGCCTGTGCATGTAAATAACCTCAGCAATGTATGCACAAAGACTTACATATGTGTGTACGTTATACATATATCCACATATAAATATATACCACACATCTAAATGTATATATATATATATATTATATATATATATATATTTTATATATATATGGTCACCCCCCCCCCCGTTGACAGACCATGCCCTTTCAACTCAGTCGTAGTGCATGGTCTGTGATCGGGGGGAGGGGGCACTCGGCTTTCAAAAACTCAATTCCAAAATTTCCAAAATTCTCTCCCCTAACTTTCCGGATTTCCAAAACTTCCAAAATTTCCAAAATTTTCGAAATTTCCAAAATGTACGAATTTCCGAAATTTCCAAAATTTCCAATATTTCCGAAATTTCCAAAATTTCCAAAAAGTCTGCCCTTATGTTTTGGAAAAATCCTGTCAACTAGGTCGGGCCGTTTTGGAAATTTTGGAAATGTCGGAAATTTTGGAAATTTTGGAATTTTCGGAAATTTTGGAAACTTTGGAACTTCTGGAATTGATTTTCAATGGGCTGATTGTGACCCATCGGATGACAGACCATGCACTACGACTCACTTGCAAAGGCAAGGTCTGTTTAGACGATTGTCAGTGTTCATATATATATATATATATATAATTTTTAAATTGGTACTCCTACAAATACTATTACCAATACTAATACTGACATTGGTCATTTGCTGACTGCCCAAGCTAGTACCAGCATTAACACTAATATTTACACTTTTTAAGCCAATACGAATAGGCACCATACAGATACTCATAATGATTAATACTGACGTTCATACTCCTACGCATATCAATCATTATGCCCATATTGGTAGTAGTGTACTTTAATACCAATACTAATACACACCTGCATATACCAATGTACATAAATATACATACCACTATATTGAAGTACAAATACATTGGCTCATGCATGTATTTATCTGTTAGTATTTTCATGTAATCAGGAGTAATACTAATATAAGACAAACGTTCATGCGAATACATAACCTCATTTTAATATTAACACTAGCACTAGCACTATTACTAATACCAATCACACTGTTTATACCAACACCAAGATTTACATAAGTATTGATACTCCTACTGATACTACTGCGTATACTCTTATGCTGTTAACAGTAATTAATGCTGTCACCAATACTAATACTGATATTGATAACTTGTTGAATATTCAAGATAATGCCAGTATTAATACCATTATTAACACTTATACTACGGCTAATGCGACTATGGATAATCCTAATACGAATATTAACATTAACACTCCTACGAATACCAATAGTCATATTCATATTGATGTGAAGACTAATACCATTACGAAAGACACGTGCATATGCTAATGCACACCAGAACACATACCATTATCTTAAAATGCCGATATGAATCGATGCATTCATGAACTGATGTTTTAGGACAAGCATATACCCATATACCAATGTAACCATATACTATATACTAGTATGCTATTATACTAGTATGCTACTATACTAGTATACGACTACTGTAATATGCAAGTATACCGACATGACACGTTAGTGTCCTAATATGACAACATACTGATATACTTATCAATCTTTAGACAATACACGTATATTGCATGTACTAGTATACTAATATACTAATGTACGAATATACTGGTATGTTAATATACTAATATATATATATATATATATATATGTATATATATATATACAGCATTATACTAGTTTACTAATGCATCAGTTGTACTGAAGTATTAAATCTACGAATATGCAAGTATACGAATATGTTGCCTCTCGACCACATCAATGTATTGATACTAACCTGCTGATATACGAAAGTATCAGAATAGTAACATATCCAAACTAATTCTAATTTTGATACCAATACTAGCACCTCTGCCGTTGTTAACTGAAATTAAACCCAGCATGAAGACTGATACTAATACTAGCAGTGGTACTATTACTGGCATTGACACTGGCACTAACACAAAGACGAAAACGAAGATGAGCACTAACATTAATGTATGCGTACTACTGTCGATATATACATATATATATATATATATACTTACAGTAAACATTAATACTATTGCTGATACTCATACTAATACCAATACTAATACTCATACTCATCCTATATCAATGCTACCACAAAACTCATAACTCACGTGTCGCGCGTCTGGTCCATGCGTCCTCAGTACATGGCATGTTAAAAGTATACTTGGTATATGTACTGCTGTAAAGGATTTGCTTTACAGATTGTCGTCATGTGGGGTGTGTTTAGATACAATATCTCAGCCCAGTCACCGAACGAGAGTACACTATCACAAGGGCATGGTCTGTCAACGGGGGGGGGGGGGGGGGGGGGTGAGCATGTTTATATACATATATATATATACATAGGTTTATGCATGTAGGCATGCACTTTTGTAGTGAGTGCGCATTGGTGCATGTGCGCACCGATGTGTATGTGTGTATATATATATATATGTATAGTATAATATACATATAAATGTGTGTATGTACGTAGGTAGGTACGTATGTATGTATGTCCTTCTGCGTGTAGGTATGTATGGTGATGTGCGCAAGTATGTATGAATGCATGTGCGTGCATGCGTACGTGCCCGTGTGTAAGCTTATATATAAGCACACATTTGAAAACGATGGCAGAACAAATAATGACATATACAGCGCGACGTACATATCTGCGTAGGCATATACATACACCTTATTAAGATCCTGTAGTCGTGTATGTACATAGTAATGAAGCGAAATGATTGTACCACGTCTCTATACCCGGCCATCCAGTATGCATCTGCTTGTCTCCGTATGCTTCGATGCAATACTGACATGTGTGTGTACACCACGTAACAACAAACACAAGCACAACACCAACAACACAACGCCAGCACCGGCACAACTGACCACAGCAACACCATGTCAAATATCAACAGCAAAAGCAACGGCACCACCCACCACCACCAAGATGTCATATATCCGGTTATCAACCAGCAAAATGCAATACATGTGGCGACAGATGTAGGAGCAACGACTACGTACCCACGACCTTCAATTATTAATATAGGGCCCTAAACAATTATAGTATAATGGCCCCCAAAACCTTAGGTCTAATCATTGAGGCCCTTATGTTAGGCCGATGCCACCGGGTTTTGCATGTTGTAATCAAGCGCTCCTGGTTGATTTGCTTCTCGCTCCCGAAGGCTCAAAAAGGTCCAACAGCCTTGCATGGTGTGGTCCTTAGTAGGTAAGATCCTCTTGAGTCCAATAAGAGCGAATATCACATGTCCCAAAGACACTGGAGATTTAGATATGAGCACTTATATAGGGACTTGAACCCTAAGACCTAGACCGTCTAGATTTTTTTGTTATGAGCCCTCGGCGCCTTCAATCCTAAACCCTATGAGCCCTGAACCCTTAGAGCCTTAAACCCGAAACCCCTTAGAGCCTTGTACCATAAACCTTTAGAGCCTTCGGGATTGAGTTCAAGCAGGGGCCTCCGCCGCTTTCAGCGCGCATCGGCCTTCTTTGCTAGGCCGAGATTGCACAGCCGCCGTCTCTGTTTTGACGTTTTAGGGCTTCAGGGTTTAAAGTTTGAAGCTTAACCTTAAGGTCCAGGCCTTTTGGTTCTAGAGTATAGGGGTTTATGGCTTAAGGGTTTAGGGCCTAGGGTTTGATGATATGAGGTCTAGGGATAACTTAAGTCAAAACTCACTGACATCTAGGAAAGCAGTATTGTACCCAAACAGTCGAATGCACAGGAGAAGCCTGAAACACATCTCACGCATCGAGGTTACTCTGATTGGAACCCTCCCACCATGGCTGATACTTTCGGCGATTCACGGCTTTTGCCGCAAAGTGCAATCCATATAAGACCTGAGCAAAGCTCTTTGAACCTTAAGTGCCGCGTGCGAGAGCCTGGAAACAGGCAGGCTTTCGCATCAGCTTGAAATCGCCCTTCGGGCACGGGGGCTCCTAGCAAGCGAAACACTGGAACTGGGTCCAGCGCTGAGCTGAACACAGTTTTGGTATGTAGGGTTCAATATACACATGTACGAATACTATGTATGTACATATATAATACATACAGACTCTAAATGCGCATTAAATATTCGATGCCTGCGCATCGTAAATGGAAGTGGTTACCGCTTGTCGACTGGAGTTCAATGACCGCTGGACTAATTACTGGCGAGATGTAGATACCCCAAAATTCCCAAAAACCAACACTGAAAACAACAATCGACTCTTCAAACTTGCACGGAAGAATCCAGCTAAGCCATGCCACACGTCACTGCGTTAATTCCGAAGTTATCCACTTGTTCGCTCACTCCAAGCTAGGCATATTATCTCCACAGCTATGCATCGAAGCCCCTTCCTTGTGGACAGGAAGGCCGGATCGGCCCAGTTGCAAACGGATGCGGCAGTAGAGCTCAGGTTGTAACGTCTGATGTCGTAACCTACTAGAGCATATAACCTCTGATATACAGGGGCCATATCAACAAACCTCAACTCATGACAGCTTAAGCTGTTTTTTTGGCTGTATTGGTCGCAGAGCTTGTGCGGACTTC